ATTACGAAAAACTTCTTCACCGAAAGGGTGGTCAAGCATTGGAACAGGCTGCCCAGGGAAGTGGTTGAGCCTCCATCCCTGGATGTATTTAAAGAACGGATAGATGTGGTGCTCAAGGACATGGTATAGATGGACTTGGCAGTGATAGGTTAACGGTTGGACTCGAAGATCTTCAGGGTCTTTTCCAACCTTGACAATTCTATGATTCTATGATTACTGCTGAGCAGTGCTGACACAGAGTCAAGGCCTTCTCTGCTGCTCACCCCACCAGCGAGCAGGCTGGGGGGCACCAGGAGCTGGGAGGGGGCACGGCCGGGGCAGCTGACCCCAGCTGGCCAAAGGGCTATTCCATACCGTATGGCGTCATGCTCAGCGTGTAGAGCTGGGGAAGAAGGAGGAAGGGGGGGACGTCGGAGTGATGGCGTTTGTCTTCCCAAGTCACCGTTACCCGCGATGGAGCCCTGCTTTCCTGGGGATGGCTGAGCACCTGCCTGCTGATGGAAAGCGGTGAATGAATTCCTTGTTGTGCTTGCGTGTGCGGCTTTTGCTTTCTCTATTACACTGTCTTTATCTCAACCCACGAGTTTTCCCACTTTTACCCTTCCAGTTCTCTCCCCCATCCCACCAGGGGGAGTGTGCAAGTGGCTGAGTGATGCTTAGTTGCTGGCTGGGGTTAAACCACAACGGTTGCTTTCAGTACCATAAAGTTAGCTGGAAAAGTAATTCTTAACATTCAAAGAACTGGCACTGAAAAGCTTAAAATATGGCTGTTTAAGAGTCTTTCTCAAAAAGCCAAAGTACCTGCTTCTGCGCAGCAATGGGCTGTTCGTCCTAGATTGCGGTCTGCGTGTGCGGGAATCGGCTGCAGGAGCACTGGATGAAGCGTTTGTGTGCGGCCCTGCGAGCCAGCCATGTGTGGCAATTAAAGGGAGGGGAAAAAAAGCTCCTACTTAACAACAACAAAAAAACCCAAAACCAAAATCAAACAAACAAAACAATATAAGTTTATATGTGAGGACTGCAGTGGCACTTGAGCATGTGCCTGCTATGAGCTCAAAAGGTTTCTTATTCGGGACAGTTTTGGTCGGCTGAATTTATCTGAGAATTTCCTTCTTAAAGTTGTCTTCCAGATTTTTGGAGATTTTGTAGAGACCGACATAAAGAAAGGGGACTCTGTGTGTTTGTCATACTTGGAAAAAGAATGGTGGTGTCAAATTATTCCCCCAAAAATACTCACCTAAAAATGAATGCGTGAGCCATGTCGCGTTGCTCCTCCTATGAGTGGGATCTGCTGCCGTTCCACCCTGTTTCCTGTAGTTTGTTTTTCTGCTTGAAGTGGAAAACTTTTGTCCTTGTTTTGGGAAGTACCGTGGTATAGTTAGGAACTAAAATTAATTTTATCTGCTTCTGTACACATTTGAAAGGGGCCTATAGTGTTCAATTCAAACTGGGTTTCACAAGCCGGACACTTGCACTTTACTGGGGTGTTGAAATGGAGATGCTTGTCGGGTGTGGAAGCGGTGCTGCGTGTATTGAACGGGCTGGGAGCGAAGGATGCGGGGCAGGTCGCCGGTTGTTCAGTGAACTTGACAAAGAAAGAAGTAAATAACTGCTGCTACCGTGCTCTGCGAAGACGTCTTGACAGCAGTTAGAGCGCACGAGTATAACTGTTTTCTTGTACACGGACGTAGTTTTAGATCCATGGAATATTTGGAAACGTGGGTAGTTTCTCTTTTCTTAAAGGCACTCCCAGTTATGTTTTATTGCTTCATTTATATTCAGGTCAAGGACTTTTCCGTTGTTATTAATACAGCACCTGGGGGTCATAATTGGTAGCAAGAGAATTTTTGTGCAGACGTATGTAGCAAAAGCAGTAATGGATGCTTTTTAAATGTGGGGGTTGCTTATGATGGAGGAAGTTCTGCTTTTCTTTAAACTGTTGGAAGAAAAAAAATAAAACACAAACCTTGTTTGCTAGAGCAGAGAGACTTAGAGCAGCATTATCCAGGGCGCAGTCGATGCGTAGTCCGCGGGATGCACCGCTAATTTATCATTCCTCGTTCATAGACAGTAGCATGCTGCTATCTGCCTCCTGGCCTGACTGTTCCCATACTCTCTACCATCATTTTCTGGTGAAACTCCATGATGAGACCTGCTGCAGCCTCTAAAAGCACCGGGTTATTGTGCCATGTAGCGTAAGGAAGGAGTAGAGAATCCTTGAAACCCTGTGACAAGGTGGCAGTGGGCCAGAACTACAGCAAGAACTACCCCCTCCATCGAGAGGGGCTCGCTTTGCCTGGATTGCATCCCTGAGTTTCTGTGCCTGAAGGGTGGGAGAGGAGGGGAGCAGGACAGCAAACTGCTCTAAGCAGAATTGCTTCCTTGGGTTAAGAACGTAAGCGTCTGGTTTCCCAGTTGTAGCTGGAATAGTCATAGGCCTTTAAAAAACAGGTTTGTTTCCAGGTTTTGTAGATGTTCTGTAATCTTCATTAGAGATTTTTTTTTTTTCTTAGAGAATCTTTTAAATATTTGCCTTAGTATCGTTTCTGATGCTGAATTTACTCTCAAGAATTCATCCTATCTTTCTAGCCCCTTACAGTATTTCAGAAATGGGGCATAAGCAGTTTTTCCTCCAAGGCAGGGATGTTTTGCTCATAACTATTGATTGAGAGTTTTAATTACTAGGTGGGCAGCTTGAGGCATCTCCAAAAGGTCTTACCTGAACAAAATGCTGATCTCCCAAACTCTGAAAATCTTGAGTCACTTGTCACTTCCCTAAGTCATCGCCAAATGATTAATGCTGTTTTCATTTGAGGTGTTCAGAACATGTAGAGCCTCAAATGCTGCTTTTTGAAAGGAAAACGGTGTGGTTTTTGAAGGATGAAGAGTGAAAATCAGGCTTCTAGTAGAAATTGTTTCTGGATGTGTTAATTCAGTAGTTTGGTAACTTGCTTAAATTGATGGTACCTTGAACTTGAGTTTTTCTACTAGTGGCATTTGACTCCCGTAATGCTCTGCCGTTGTTTAAACCATCTTTATTTCAATCTTCATGTGTCTAGAAGAGCACTGTGATATTAAGAATTCGTGACCTTGCCAGCGTACCTCAAAGCGGTGTGATTTGTACCTCTGCTGTCTTAGCCTGTCCGGTGCCCGATTGCGCATCTGGCGCTGTAAAGCTGTCACGCAAAGGGTTCTCCGTGTCTGGACCGAGAGGCTCTGCGGGCACCGTGGGATCGGATGGAGCAGTTGGAGATCGTGTTCCAATCAACAGGACTCAAGTTGCCCTTGATACACTTTCCATCCTATGTTTTTCTGACAATCGTTCCTGGAAAATACCAGTCCTGCTGAGAAGATTTACTTATTCCATGGCCTCGCTATACATTTCTGTTCCAATTGGCGAATGGTGTTATTACTTAGGGCTTAACTTTAAGTATTGACATTTGTTTCCCATTTTAAATACTAATTTATCCTTGAATATTAGAGCTGCACAGATTTTGTTTACGGCAGAGAAGTTCATTGGACTAGAGATGGATAAATTGTTTTCTTCCTCGGTTTGTTTTTATTGTTCTGAAGCCAAATGGATTTTTCACTTGGCTGAAGAATGCCAGACCTGAAATACTGCATTCTTTGCCCCTGTCTGCAGGCATGTAGTAAACATAGTACCTTTGGGTGAGGCCGATCAGCTGAGAATGAATAATCATTTCATTCATCTGGCTTTTGTCATTAGTTTGTTCTTGGGATTTAAAACAAAACATTGCAGGTCCTTTTCCTGGAGCTCTTCAAATAGCTTTTTAACAGCTCAGTAATATTGCCCTGTGTTGAGAACAGTAGACAAAAATATCATGTATTGGTGGTGATAGCTACTAGCAGGAAGACTTCGGCTCGTGTATTTTTTTCCTAATAAACGAGAAGATGGGTTAGCTTGTTTGTCATTAATTCAGGTGCCTATTAATTCAGATTTTGGCAATACAACTATTGCAGTATGCTTTACTTGCGAAGCATTTTTCCTGTGGATGTAGCTACACGATAACCTTTTCTGGGAGGGCACGGTAATTTCAAGCTCTGGGTGTGTTTGTCTCCGCTGAGAGGATGGCTGGGGCCGTTGGGGTGTTGCTGCACCGGTAGGAATGAGGGACTGCAGGCAGTTGCATCCTTAACCGTGAGCAAGCCAGACCTGATTTCAGCTGATGGTTCCAACTGGTTGCCCTCCTTTCTCGTCTTTTCATTGTTCATTCGCTCCCCGGTGGAATCCAACAACGTTTGACTTATTAATGCCTAGCACTTTCCTTGAAGTCTGTATGCTATCAGGTACAACACGCTGAGCTAAATAATAGACTCAGCTTTGTGAGCTTTGTCCTTTTTCTAGGCAATCTAAGAAGCGTAGTCCGAGAGCAAACTTCCATGCTCCTCCTATGCCCCAGCAAGCTTAAGAGTCTTTATAAAAGTCAAAGAACTTGGCATTTAACCTCTTTTCCCCGTTTCCTATCTTATAATGCTTTATAACAAGCCCACGGGCTCTAGAACATGGGAAGTGTGTATAGTCACCTAAAGAGACACCATTAGCGTTTACAGCCAGTACTCCTCTCAGCTGTGCTTCCAAACGATGCCTTGATAGTCGGTGGTCTCTTCTAGATGTAGTATTTTTGTGGCTTAGAACAAGGTATAAAACTTAAAATATGTTTTCTAAATACTGATATTTGTTCTCCTTTGCAGACTAAGAGAGTGCATAGAGCCTGGGGGGGACGAGAGCACAGGACGATGCTGCTGAAAGGAATCTGAGCCACAGAGCATGCTTTGTGCCACAGTTACCCAGGTACGCTCCGGCAGGGCGCTTTGGGCCACGGCTACCCGGGCACGCTCCGGCAGGGCGCTTTGGGCCACGGCTACCCGGGCACGCTCTGGCAGGGCGCTTTGTGCACCTCGAATGAACCCCAGTTCGTTGTGCTTGTTGCTCCATTACTTACCCTCCTGAGCCAAGGAGACTGTCTCAGCCCCAGACCAAAATTATGCTCTGCTTTCGTCATTCCATCAGGATGGCACTTGCAGGCTGAAACCTAAACCCTTTTATGTATGTTTTAGTTTTAATTTTATCCGATTGCTAAATTCCAGCTGGTCTCTCTTTAAATGTTACCCTGGTTTACATCGTGAGGTAGGCTGAACATTTTAGTGTATGTTTTCAGAAGTCTTTTATGCACAGAGAAGATGTGATCTCAATAAATGAGCTGCTGAACTACATATCTGGAAGTAGTTTTGAGACTTGCTCCAGACTGCTGTTAGAAACCACTCCGGTTGACTCACCTGCAGATAATCTTCTGGGCTTCAGAAGTCAAAAGCAATGGGGTAGAAGCATCCATCGTTGCTTTGCACGCCAGTGTCTAATGAACCAATGCAGATTTTTCAGGATGTTTTGATAGGAAATGTGAAATTTTCTGATGTTGCTTTTTTTTTTTTTTTTCTTCCCCATAAATAAAATTTTGGGGATGAATATTTAAAAATCTTCATTTCAGTGCAGCTCTGTTCTGTGCTGTCTAATTATATGATTATGCTAAAGAAAGATGTTAAGGAGGTAAAGATCTGCCTGTCATGGAGTCTAGGATTTTTCAAAAGCAATTCTGTGACCTGGGAGCCATCGCAATCCAGTAGCGCTAGCTGTCCTACAGCACTGACTAAATAAATAAATTTTAAAAAATCATATGATTGTGAAGTGTTTCTGTGGAATAGAAGCTCACTTTTTTACTAGCACCAGCTGGCAAGTGGGAGTAGAGAAACAGAGCAAACAAACAGCAGAGAAAAGTAGGAGGAACAATGGCGATAGTCTAAAAACTGACACATTAGGAGACCAGCGTGCAGAATAACAAACTCCTATCACAGGATGTTTTGCATAGCAACAGGACTCTTGTCTTCAAGTGGACTTTAGTGTAACTGCAGCGCTTGCTTCCTGTATGAGATAAAGAGCTGTTGTACTCTGAATGCATTTTAATCTCTATATCTAAATTGGACTAATAATTAAAAAGAATTAGCTGAAGGAAACGATAGCGAAGTCTATTGCTCTTGAAAGTGTTTCCTCTTATTTTGCTGTCAGAGAAGTGAGAACAGAAACGTGCATAAAGGAAACAGATTAAAGATAAACTTTTTCACCAGGTGCTGAATGCTGTCTACAAACGACTTTGTCGATGAAGGGAGAAATTGATTGGGAATTGGAAGCGCGAACTGGCTCGTAATACTGTTCAACATGCGCAAAGGGGTGCCAAAGGACCCAGAAATAGCTGACCTATTCTACAAAGATGATCCTGAAGAAATATTTGTGGGTTTACATGAAATTGGACATGGAAGTTTTGGAGCAGTTTACTTTGTAAGTATAGTTCTTTACCTCCTTTTTGGAAAACAGAACCATTTTAAGTGACATTTGAGAGATTTTCAGCATTTGTAAAAGCGAGTGGTGTTTGAGCCCTTTAGTTCTTCGTGTGTATTAGCTTTCTCATAACACATCTCAAAAAGAAGTGTTTCCAGAGCACTCCTGAGCTCTCGACTGTTACAGCTGTATTTATAGTAGCAGTTGATTATAGTATTAATAGTGCACCCAACTATTTAGGTTAAGTATATGGTATCTTGTGCTGTCTGATACTGAAAGTTGAATTTAAACAGTTGGAAATTAATGTGCCAAACTGGAATTTCAAGATACTCTACTTGGTGCTCATGTGCTTGTAAATCATTGCAAATTAATAGATCGAGTGAATTAATGATTCAAAATGCATGTGGAGCTAAAAGCTCCTTTGTTAATGAATTGGTATTGTGGCTGCTTGGGTAAAGACACCGTGGAAGTTGCATCAGATTGCATTCAAGCTTTTGAATGATTTCTCTGCTGCTCTGATAATTTAGGAGTTAAAAATATCTTTGAAATATCATTTTGGTTTGCCACCTTCCTTGTCCCCATGTTCATCGCATAACGTGCTGTCTTCAATAGCAAATGCTTACATGGCAAAAGCAAAGAGAAAGTCTTAAGAGGAATGGGAATTCAAGCGGGAAGGATGTGTTGCGTTAGTCGATAGGGTCAAGAGAATTGAATCTGGAAAGTGAGAAGAACAGTGCTTTTACAACTGGTATCAAACAAAGCCAAATCCAAAATACTGGATTTGGAAATAATTATAATCAAGTTGCTATCAGTGAAACTAAAATAGAATTCACTATGAAAAAATCAATCAAAGACAAATTAAAGCTGCTTGGTAGCATGGCCTGCTGCTCCAGAAGGTCAGGTTCACTAGAACTGAGATTTCTGAATATCAGGCGTTAAAGTATTTAGGTAAGTACCCTTACACCTCTAACTCCAGAACCTGGCAGTGGCTAGCATTAATTTGCAAGCACTCCAATTCCCTCTTTGCAGTTGTGCGCAGTGATGGAGGTGTTGGTGGAACTGTTGTTGGAACAGGAGAGGAGCCTGATATTTTGTGTCAGATAAGCAGTGCGTGTGTGTTTTGAGGGATGACAACGCAATTCCTCGGTGTGTAATATGGTGGTAATGATGCAGGGGAGTTTCTGCCATGGGGACTGTCAACAGTGGGACAGGCACCTTCAGATGTTGGGGTACGTGACAGGTTGGTGAAAGTACAATGTTAAAGGTACTACGTGTGTAAGAGGATGAGGCTGTGATACTTACAATATGTGTTGATCCACTCCATAAGAAGAGCAAGCTTTTTTTTTAAGATGGGAGCAGGGAGGTCCTACCCAGAGTATTTCAAACCCAAAGGGAAAGGATGCGCGGTGTGCTTTAGGGCAGAGATGACCTAGTGAAGGTGCCACCTTCATCATTCAGCTCTGGTGTTCAGAAGTCACTCATACTTCCAGGGAAAAGTCAGGAGCGTTAGAGATCTGATCTACCAAGCAGGCTTACAGCTGAGATGTCACTGTGGTTAGGTAAAAGACTTGTGATTCCCTGACGCTTCTCTTCCTCCTTTCCCTGGATGCTTTATTTACCTGGTCTGCACTTTACGAACCTTGGAGAGTTTAGCCAGACCGCCGCTTCTTGCGATATCCTAGCAGCAGCTGCATCCTCCACGCTCGATGGTGATTGCAGTCCTGCCTGTAGTAACGTTCCTGTAGTCGGTAGTCACTGGATGCATCACCACTTATCTGTGATACATCTGCACTTCTTTGCCACTCTTTGAAACTTGAGCTTTCCTTCCTGTCGCATGAAGCGCTTGGCATCCAGTGAATTGTTCTTCGGAGTCTTTGCCTGGTCCTGCTGTGTACCAACGTCACGAGCAGGAACTCCCCTCTTTGCAGATTTTATGCACGATAGCCCAGCACCCATCCCTTTCCCTGAGGAAGGCCTCTAGCTATACCCTGCTTTGTGTGGGTCAGGCGAGAGCTGTTCCCTACCATGCAGGGGATGCTGTGCGTCCTCGTTTGGTTTTCCTCCTTTTTAAAAGCCTTTGTAGCCTGTCTCACATCTTGATTCTTACGCATCTTGGAGTAAGGCAGGGCCGAGAATAAGATCTCGGATTGCCGTGGCAAGATTCCAGGGATCCTGCCGTGCTTGGTATCAAAAAGAGTGGGTCAAAAAAACCTTTGAAGGACAGGGCTTTCTAAATATTCCAAAAGAATTGGGAAGAGACTTCAGATACATAAAAAGGGGCAGGGCATGGATAGTCATGGTGTTGCTGCATCTCTCTGTTATCTAAATTGGTACTGACACTACTACAAATAGCAAATACACCAATCTGTGTCTTGTCACCGTTGTTACAGTGGTTTAATATGATCATTCTTTTAATAATTTATGATTACAAATTTCAATTTAAGCCCAATGTTTGCAAGCTGTTTTGTTTTCTGGTATATTATTGCCAAGGTTTGGCAAGATAACTTGAAATTTCTTTTCTTGCTTGAAAGAAATGAGACTTCATCTATCACAAGGCTAAGAAAAATTACGTCGCTTCTCACAAGGTTTTAAAGTTGATGCTAACTTGACTTGAAATCCACTCAGTTGGTATCACGCTTAACTTCAGAAGAATAGTTTTAATCAAAAACAACCTACTTATATCCACGTTAGAAACCTGGAAAAGCGAGAAAGCAGATGAGGACCGTGTAAATGAGGTTTTGCAAGCAAAACGTGCTTGTTTTCTGCCAAGCTTTTCACCAGAGATCTACAAGTATGGCCAAAACCGCTTCAGCAATTGGATATTTAAGTGTGCTTGTACAGCCCTTCGCGTTATGTCAGCCAGAAGGACCCCAAGCGCTCGGTACAGCGAGAACTTCACCCGCGACTGTGAGAACACGGCAGCGCCATTCGGCAAAAAATTACGGCTGAAGCGAGAGATACCATGTTCACGTGAAGATAACTTGGAATTAATGTAACAGACAGAAATACTTGGAAGTTTGTTTAGGACACCAACATTAACTCATCTATTTGAGTAAAATACTCTTGCTCTTTTATGTGCTGGATCAGAACGATGAGTGGTTAGGAAGGGGTTTGCCTTGTCCAAAGGTTATTTGTTCTCAGCTTTGTCTCACTCGTTGGAGGAGGAGCGTGTGCTGTGGAGAGTCCAAGCGTATCAACGCCCTTTAGTAATTCCTCTGCTCTGTTGGTTCACCCGACACCATTTTTCTTTGAAGTCGCCGTACGCATCATGAAATGTCTTTCATTTAATACATTTCTTGAAAGTGTAGCGTTCGTCCTCTCAAGCAGTTGCAAGAAGGATTTACCACATTTCGTTTCTATTGTATTCTAAGCTTTTAACTGTCATTAATTTTTTAATTTTTTTTTGTCCCCCAAAATGGTAAATGGTTGGAGGTACTGGGATTTCAACGACTCTTTAAGACTAAAACCTTCAAGTTTTCTGTCCTTAACATGCGGAAATGAGGGCAGTGCCAATCTGGGCAAGCAGAGCTCTTTCTAAAACCGAGTTTTCAGCCTCTGGTCACCATCCCTGTGTCACACAGGCTGCAGAAAAGTAGGATTTTGCTGACTGAGTAATACTCATTGTACAACTGAGATCTGGTGCAGTGAAAGGAAAGTTGCTTTTTTTAATTGAGAGAAATTCCAGAATGTAGCATCTTCTTGAAACTGGAAATTGAAATAGCTGTTTGAGAATATCAATGTTGTATGGGGTTTTTGGATGAAATTACAGAGATTTTGATACACCTCTTTATTTGTTTCTTTGGAAAACATTTTTCCAAAGGTTTATCTGAAACTGGTTTCACTGCAATTCCAATAAAACTGTATTTTGCATGTTCTAAGTTCAACATTGGGCCTTGGTTTGCGTATCGGTAGAGAGGCAGCAAGTGCAGTAAGGGCTGAGGGGGGCACAGTGGATATGGACAGATGGATGAAGTCAGGAAAAAGCGTCACAAGAGTTGTCTGGTAAATCTTATCGCAAGGAAGATGTCTCTGCAGCGTGGGAGCTTGCCAGGATGCGATGTAGGAGAAAAAAGCCTGCATTTGCCAAAGGCACAGCTCATTCCACGGGGAGGGAAAAAAAATGAAACTGTTTTCAATCTATTTCTTTCTCCCTACTCCAGGCTACAAATTCCCACACTAATGAGGTGGTGGCAGTCAAGAAAATGTCCTATAGTGGAAAGCAGACGAATGAGGTAAGATGAATAAAGCCAATTCTGCATGCTGAAGCTGTTGCAGCCATAATGTAAGTCTGAACAGTGAAATTAGCTGCGTATTTCATTTGACACTAGCAGACCAGCTTTTTAATGCTGTAGCTGTTGCTCGCTTCCATAGGAAGCATGGAGGTTTGTGGAGGGAAAATGAGTTTATGCAAATTTTGACAAATAGTTCAGTTTAAGGAGGTGAATGGGAATTCAGAATGCTTGTAGGGTGGTTATTTCGGTAATAAGCGCATTAAGAGCATGCTGGCTACCGGAGCCATAACCGCAACTCTTTGAGGTGTCAACTGAAATGTATAGCTGACTTGAAACACTTTTCGGGATCTAAATCTAGAATTGCACAGGCCACCTATTCAGAATATCAATCTCGCTTCAACTGCTGCTTGTTAGTTGCTCCCCTTATTTCTTTGTGTTGCAACGGTCTGGACTCGGATTGACTCTGCTCATTCGGATTGCTGGGTTGATAGGCAGTAAAGAATCTGTTTGTTAGGAGCAAACAGGGATGTTTTAAACTTGTTTTTCCTTGCTTACCTGTTGGTCTCCCACATGTGCTGAGGTCTTCCGAATGTCAGCTGCCTTGCGCTGCGTTACAGAAGGAAGCGAGCAGCTAACTGCTACCGTCTATAGCACGTGCTGTAGGTGGTGGTGTCGGTTTTGGGGCGGGTGGGTTTGTTACGAAGTTTGAGACCACTGGACAGTTCAATAAACAAAACAGGAGCAATGCTTTAGGTAAAATATATTGCAGATAAAATGAGGGGAAAAAAATTGCAATCCTCAAGCTATTTAAATACGTCTTGGGGGGGGGGTCTCAATGCAATAGAGATCCAGACAACTTCAGTTGTGCACAGTTGTGCTTTTACAACTATGACTCTTACTGTCTTCACATTGTAAAATAGCTTTATGGTTGCTTTTCAGAATGTACTACAGTGTGTGTGGTGTTTGAGAGTATGTAGGGGATTAAGCGGAGAAATGTATTTATATCTTTTTGTTTTTTTAATTAGAAATGGCAGGATATCATCAAAGAAGTCAAGTTTCTACAACAGCTGAAGCACCCCAACACCATAGAGTATAAGGGCTGTTACCTGAAAGAGCATACGGCATGGGTGAGTGAGCGATGTGGCATTTAGAGGTCTCGTGAGCAGAAAATATACGGCACAGCAATCAAATATTCAGTACACACAGTGTCTTTTAAATGCAGCAGTATTCATCCCATGCTGCCTGTAGTCCCTTTCATCTGAGAAGCTTCCAGGTAATTTAAAGGGAATAAATATTTAGGACATTGGAACAAATCCCTGCTTCTTTGAGGCAGGCCTCTGTGTTCATGCAGATTAGACAATTATCATGGAACATCCTCTGCAGTATCTCCCCACAAACTTCTCAGTGCCTGAACCTTCTTTACAATAATGGAAGATGTCTTGACATTGCTGGAATGTTCAGAGCGTTTTATCTTGTTCATCGCTTATTGCATTTCTTGCAACTTAAGGTCTTATTTGCTTCTACTGTTTCTCAGCCATTCAAGTAGTAACTGTTTGTGGGGGAGTGTCTACCCTATTATTTAAAAGCTTGCTTTTTTCTTGCAGTTGGTTATGGAGTACTGTTTAGGATCAGCTTCTGATTTGCTAGAGGGTAAGTTTTATATAGTCTTTGATTTTCTTATTGCTAGTGCCCCTTCTTAGTGTAGTGGGAGGCTGTTTTCTCACAGACTAGTGTTTTGCAGATGGTAGAGGCAGTCTGTCTGTACTACTCCATTCTGTAGCTAGAATGCTTGCGTTTGTGATACCAAGGGTAAGTTGAGACTTTCCCGGGAGGCCAGCGCTCCGTATAATTGGCATGCACATTTACGTGTTGTAAAAGGAAGGTATAAATGTATATAGCTCTGTTCCTGTAGTTTGCGCCTTCTTGATGACTGAAGCAGGCCGCCTGTTTTCTGAATATCTGTAACAAAAACCTGCAGAGATCACCTTTGTCCTTGCCTTGCAGTTTGTAGGAATAATTACAGATGGTTTTGTAGAACAGGAGAGTGATACGACCTCAAAACTAGAACAAGAGCACCTGCAGAGGAACAGGGAATCTAGCTGAAGTTTGCAAAAACTAGTACTCTTTGTGGGCCATATCTTTTGCATCTAAGATACGGTCAGCCAAAGGCACATGCTGGTCGTGTTTAGGGATATATGGAAGGTGCTTTGGGGCATCTCTTTGTAGCTAGTATTCCTCATTTTCCTTTTTTGTCGACTGGGGAGAAAGAGTGGCAAGTTTTTCTTGCTAAGGACCAACTGAGTATTTCAAATACATTTGGCAAGCTGCACTCAGACGTATCTCCTGGCGTTAACAGTCACTGCTGGCCCTCGCAGGAAT